GGGTGGATCCCTTCCACTGACCGCAGCCTCCTGCAGGCTACGTGCACCTATGTGTGGCGAGTGCATGTGGAACAACTCAGTGAGGACGACTACCGCGACCGCATCGTGGAAATCGTCGGGCAACCAGCGCTAAGTGAACACCCACCAAGTGAGACATGCAGACGTACTGTCGGACGCTGAGACGTGACCAGTCGCCTGGTGTCATTTATGGAGCGGGTGGATGATGTGATCGATGAGAACGGTTTACGTCAACAACTCAAGGATTCGACCATGCTGAGAACATTCGTAAAGGTAGTAGCAGCGCATGTCACACCCAGCTACCTGCGCGACAGAGTGGAAGAGCAAATGAAGACCGTGCCGGCGAGCGACCTGGTGGCTTTTGCGGACATCCTCGATCGAACGCATGATGCAGACATGATCAATTAGCAAAGGAACAACTATGGTTCAAAACGTGGCTGGGAAGAAGACGACCAAGGGCGCCGCATCACTAAACGTGCGACGAAGGCCAATCAAGCTGTTCGAGACCAGCGGGAATTTCAAGGAAATTATCCACGTCCACCAGGTGGATACATCAAGCCAGAAATGAGTGCGGCGGTGTGGTCCCCGTCGACCCAGAAGCGAACGGGGGACCCACCAGCCACGAAGTACGGACCTCAATCGAGTTCACGCCCAAGACACGATGACCAACTTGCCCAAGCTGTGCGTGATGTAGCGCGCCCTCGAATTTCACCCGGCCGGGATGACCGCGGCATGTTGTGCTTTGTCTGCCAGCAACCAGGATATATGGCCCGGGAATGTCCCAACAAAACAGACGGGGATAGCGGCGATACAAGCTGGAAAACGGGCAAGAACGCCGTCAAGCGGTTTAAGGCGCGGGAACGCAAAGCGAATGCCAAGCGAATGAAGAAGCCCCCACCGCCCACCATGGAAAATGATGGACGTTGGGTGCGTGTGCAGTGTGCTGGAAGTTCGATACTGCCCGGATATCGGAGCAGACCTGAACATTATGCCACAAGCCATGGTGGATGAACTTCAAGCGTTACAGCCACAACTTTAAGTTTCATGTCGGCTGCGCCATTTGTGGGAATAGCATGCAACCAGATGCCTTTCGAAGCGAGCTCCTACGTGGACCTCACGCTAACAATGCAGGCGGCCGCTGGACCAGCCAAGGTGCCAGGCAAGCGTCGCTGCTATATGGACAACGATGGAGACGAATTCCTCGTATCGGATGACACCCTCAAGACCATTGGTATCGAGATCGACCGCCTGCTGGAACAGGTGGCGCGCCTACAATTGGATGAGGATGGCGATGACCTGGAAGAATTTGGTGACGATTGCATCGAGTTTCCCCAGCGATCGGCCGTCAGAACCGCGACCATGAAGACGGTGCAACCTGTAGCCAAGAATGAAGTCGAGGAAGGCCTGCAAGGCATGGTCGACGACGCAGTCGATAACGGATTTCCAATGGAACATGTTAAGTACTTGTGGGACGTGCTCAGCAAGGATGACATCAGGCGAATCAAAGTTCGACGGTTCAGACCCACCGGCGAAGGTGAAACCATTGAAGGTGACCCCGAAGGTTGGGTGTGTTCCTTACCGATGCAAAGGAAGGAAGCACAACTCCTGGAGGAGTGGTTCCTCAAGTTGTTTGCACAAGAACTACTTAATGCCGGCGTGATCAAGAGCAACCAACAAAGTGCGTGGTCTAGCCCGGTGAACCCAATTCTGAAGCCAGATGGGTGCAAGTCATTGAATTCGGCCGACAAATGGAGCGACGAAGACGTTCTCAAGAACTATCGGCTAACCAACGACTACCGAGTTGACACCGACGTATTTTGACCCGCTTGATCGCCAGACTTGATGTCGGCTGACCCCAACGGCTCATCATATCCGCCCAAAGGTTGTGGATGCCGTCAATGTGTATGATGTCATAACGATAGCCGCCAATAATGGCAGCCCATCGATTGAGTTTGCCGCGTGTGTGCGCCTTCCATTCTTCGCCCGGGGCAAAGACATGAATGAGTTCTTGTGGTCACAGTACATGTAATTGAGCTTCTCGCACGCACGCGCAATAGGGTAGGCCTCCTTTTCGATGACTGACCACGCCTTCGGGGGGCCCGCAAACATCCCCGACTTACATAAGAGTAGTTCGTGAAGTTGTCCTTGGACTGGGCTAACATCATCGAATGCCACCACTTGAGTTACCACAATCGACCATCCATAATCGCTCGCATCCGTGCATCCGTAAACAAACACATCGTCGAGTCATCACGCCGGTGAGACAGTTCCCCCGATGATCGTAGCTTGGACTTCACGGCGTCAAACGCTAGCTTCTCGCCGTCGGTCAGTTCCAACTGAACACCAGACGCGATCCGCTTCTTCTTGCCCTTGCCTTGGAGGGCCTTCGTCAGACACTGCTGCAGTGGGTCGACGGTCTGTGCGTACTCTGTCATCGACTCCCACAGCCAGTTCATGGCGCATACAAACTGCTGCAATTCATCCGCATTCGTAGGGTAGAGGATCGCACACAGATGTTCTATGCGTTCAGGGTCTTGCTTGACGCCATCACCTTTGATGATGCGTCCGCACCACTTGACTTGGTCCGTGAACAGCTTGGTCTTGGCCGGACTTAGCGCAACGAAGGAATTCTCTTCGACTACCTCTACATGGGCGAAGCATTCAGTGGTGCTAAGTACGTGCTGATACTCAAAGACGATCTTACCCACTACTGAGAGCTCATTGCTGCGATGGTCCCATGAGGCAAGTATGTGTGGATGCCCTAGTGGACTCGACGAAGCGGTACGGAATGCCACGAGGCTGTGTCAGCGACCAAGGAACCCATTTCAAAAACGTGGCCATGAAGGCGTTGGCCCACAAGTTCAAGGTCCATCATGACCTAACCTTGGCCTACTGCCCCTGGCGAAATGGAACGGTTGAGCGGATGAACCGCGACATCCTCCAAGTGATGCGGGTCATCCTGCGAGAGTACCAGCTAGCCGAACAAAAATTGGACTACCTATTGCCGGTGGTCCAAGTCAACCTCAACTAAACACCGGTCGCATCACTGGCGAGCAAGTCGCCGATGAAGCTGTTCACGGCTATAAACCCGGTGACTCATCTGGATGTCGTCGTGGTGGGCATGAACAAGGAACTCCGAGAAAGCGACTGGACGGTCAAGGACATACCAAAGAATTTGGACAAGCTGTGGACCAGCCTGCAAGTTATGCACAAAGAAGTCCAAGACAAGAATGCGATACGCGCGGCAAAGGCGACGAAAGCGACTGAGAAGTACAAAGCGTGGAATGTCTGCGACGGCGATTATGTACTCTGGCCCCGCGTCGACGAACGATATCATACCAAGCTGTTCGTACCTTGGACGGGCCCCTACCGAGTCAAGGAAGTGGGCGAATACTCCGTCGTTTTGGAGCACCTGGTAACTCATGAATTTCGGAAAGCACACGCATCAAGAGTCAGCTCTAAGCCGAAGACAGCTTTAAGTGACCGAAGAGATCTTCGAAAACGTTTGTGAGCAAGCGATCATGCTGAAGGTCAAATCCATCGCTGGACACAAGTTTGTCCTGGATGTGAAAGACTTCATGCTGGAAGTGTTTTGGGAAGGTTTTGAAGATATCGAGTCCTCTTGGAAACCGTTGCAGAAGCTCTTGCATGAATGCCCAACCGTGGTGAAGAACTACGTTGAAGGCGTGAAGACAGCGAGCGAAGGCGATGCGTTGCGCAAGGCGATGAAGCGAGCAAGAGCGAAGAATTAGCGAGTCCCAAGTGTATCCTGCGGGACATGGCTTGGTGTGTGTGTTGTGGTGGGCGACTTAATTTAAGTTCCGGCATGACACAAGTGTTCCTCAACTGAGGCCACCTGGTGCCGACCCTTGGCGAACCAACAACGGAAAGGCGTAGTATTACTAGTAGTACTAGGACGTAGAAAACAGAACACCTATCCCAGTCAACTGCCGGAATCTCACTCTTGGTTCTGCAGCGCCGTGTTAACAACAACTAAGTGTGCGGTTTGCAGGGAGTCGGCACTCCCCGATTTGGTTGTTTGTGTTGGCACTGGCGTGGGAAACAACACAAACCACGTGACACAAAAGATTCGATTCTTTTGATTATTATCTTTACTTCCAAGTACTTCCTCTGTTCCAGGTTACTGCCGACATGTATTTTGATGTGAATTGACACAGACAATCGAGCCCTCACTCAATTTGGGCGAATGATACATTGTTTGAAAGGGAATTGCAAGCATTTTCGCAAAAGATTGTTTTATAATCAGCACTTAAAGCAATTGTAAGCCATAATCCAGAAAATGATATGAAATATGGGCGAAAATAACGGCATCGTAATGCACGACGCATTATATTTTCGATTTGTTGAAAACAAATTGGCCAGGATTTAATTAATTTGACTTAAAAATGCCTAGTAATTAGATTTGAGAAACTATTTGTTCAAGCAAATAGGGAACAACACGTAATTCATATTGCACTACGTTTCATTAGGCCAATCACATCGCTAGAAAATACTACGTAGTAGGTATTTTCATGCATCGCGTTTGAGCTTCAAGCTTCCAAGACGATACTTGTTTGATGACGTACACTGTACTACTAGTACGCCATCATGCTGAGCGTACCTGGCGCTCGAGCTTCGGCTCTCCGTGACTACCACGTCACCACTACGGTAGAGCCTACGCACTCGATTCTCGATTCGTTAAGCGTACGAATCGTACGCTTAGGAGGACGTAGAGGTTCCGGGCCGGAGCCTGGCTACACACCACGACCACCGGCTCTTATCGGTTTTACCCCCCGCAGGACTATATAGCATTTATAGATTCAAGTTAAACGAGTTTTATAAAAAATTAGTGTGCGAGCAAGTCTTTTTAGTGTAGGACCAGCACTATAAGCATTTGTGGCCACCAAAAAATCCGGATAAAGTGATGGTTAACCGGATTACTTTACTCACCTCCATGAATTCACTGGAACTTCATTTCCAGAATGTCGTCGCAGCCAGAGAACTACCTTCGCAAGTGGCTCTGCCGCGTTGACAACGGCATTGAGTGCGATAAAGCGTATCCTCACTCCAACGATGAATTCAAAGTCCATGTGCAAGCCGTGCACAAGTTGGAGTGGCCTCGCAAGGGCCGCACTCTATACGGCACGATGATCCCGGCGCCGCCTCTTGTAGTTACAGCAACAGCGCCAGCCTCGAAGCCCACTAAGCCAGAAGTGTCGTTACAGTCGGATATCGAACTAGTGAACCTAGTAGAACGGAGTAAGTCTGGTGGAAAGGCCGTACTACTCGTTCTTATTCGTTTAGCGCGTCAACAAGGTATGGACTGCACGGATCTGATTCGCGCCCTTTTGCACGAATCACCCGGACTTTCTGAAGTAGAAGAATCCAACCTAGTTGAACCGGCTCGTCCAACCCCGCGCAACCGCCGAGTAGCCAAGAGAGCTAAAAAGTAAGAAACTGCACTTTTGTGTTGAGTTTTATGCGTTGAGATTATGTAACTATTTGTATAGTAAGGGCATAGATAACATTGTCCAAATAGGCTATATAGCCACGAACATAGTCTATATCACGACTATTTCGTGCGTATATAGGCTATGTCGTGACTATATAGACTATACATAAACTATATAGTCTATTCGTACTCTACATATAGCCTATATATGTATAATATAGACTATATATGTATTATATAGACTATATATGTATTATATAGACTATATATGTATTATATAGACTATATATGTATTATATAGACTACATATGCGTTACATAGACTACATACAGTATGTGTGATACAGACTACATATGTACTGTATTATATAGACTGTATAATACGTATATAGTCTATATGTAGAGTATATTCAGCACTATATAGACACTATATGCACTATATAGACTACATTACCTACACCGTCAATGCACTGTACAGACTATATGAACTGTATACAAAGTTCAGTACTTCTCTAACATATACTATAGTACATGTACACATTAAATCATCCGGATAATTGTTGACTGGCCATCACACCTCACATTTCAAATGGCTGAAAACGACGCACATGGTCCGCCCCTCGACCAGGTGCCTGCCGATGCCGTCCGTGCCGATGTCGAGCTGTACGACATGTCGGACGTCGCGGACTTCTCGTGGCACTCTGTCCTGAAGGCCACTGGCGACGAATGGACATGTGTGGCCTGGTGTATGGACGTTGGTCTATTATCCAAGGCTATGACGTGTCCTAAGTGCCCCTGTGCAATGACGTATGACGCGGCGAAGAAGCGTTGGCGATGTCGACGTCGTGCCTGTGATGGTCTCGGGAACGTCCAGATTGGTGTGCGAACAGGTTTGTGGTTCCAACGCTCCAAACTACCTATGACCAAGGTCGTTCGCGTGCTATTTGCGTGGGCCTCACGGCGACCTGTGTCCGCTGTCGTCGCTGAAGAAGAACTGTCAATGGAAACTGGAGTCGACTGGTACAACTACTGCTGCGAGTTGTGTTCGATGGAGATGCTGCTCACACCCATGATGGTATTACTTGTACTATATGTCTATATAGTCCTATATACGTCTATATATGGTATGACTTGTACTATATAGTCCTATACATGTCTATATAGTCCTATATACGTCTATACATGGTATGACTTGTACTATATAGTCCTATATAGTCCTATATAGTCCTATACATGTCTTTATAGTCCTACATACGTCTATATATTTCGACACATGCCTATATCGTGCTATATAGTCCTATATCGATATGTGGTAGGTTGGAGGGCCAGGCGTTACAGTGGAAATCGATGAAACGTCCATGAAGAAAAAGAGCAAGTACAACCGTGGCAGGCACTATCCCGAGCACTGGGTTTTCGGTGGTGTGGATAGAGCCACAGGGAAGTGGTTTGGTGTCATTACTGGTGCTGACAGGACGAAGCCAACCTTGTCGCGTTTGATTAAGAAACATGTTTCTCCGGGCTCCCATATTATGTAAGAAAGTACAGTACATGTGTGCCTATATATTCTATATAGAATATATATATAGGCTACATAGTCTATGTCATAACCGCATTGTAGTTCGGACAAGTTCGGGTCGTACGTGTCTTCAAACGAGCAGCATACTCTGGCCAACAACCCGTTACTAGCTGACCAAGGCTACACTCACGAGTGGGTGAACCACACGGAAAACTTTGTGAACCCCATCAACGGTGCTCATACACAATCCATTGAAGGCGCATGGGAAATTCGCATCAAGCGCTTCTCCAAAGCGATGCGCGGCATGCATCGTCCCCACCTTCCATCGTACTTGGACGAGTACCTATGGCGAAGTTGGTTTTTCGCTCACGGTTCCGACAGTAAGGCTTACTTTAAGGGATTCGTGTGTGCTATTCGCAGGTACAACGCGACGGTGCAATAATACATGTTAACACCTCGTAACCATATAGACAATATAGTAGTAGTATATAGTAGCATATAATAGTATAAGTATTAATAGTATACACTTGTAGTACTTCGAAGTATATAGTAGTATATAGGCAGTACTTCGAAGTATATAGTGCTCGTCCTACACTAAAAAGACTTGCTCGCACACTAATTTTTATAAAACTCGTTTAACTTGAATCTATATATGCTATATAGTCCTGCGGGGGGTAAAACCGATAAGAGCCCGACCACCACCGCCGCTCCTGCGGCCACGGCATATGCTGGCCAAATAACGCATACAACCCACACCCACCCATACTGCCTAACCAACTCCTGTTACTTCAACTTCTACTCTCGTAGCATGGCACGGCAACAGCTACCCTGCAATCACCACTATACAGCTCCACTGTCGAGATCAGGAGTAGACATAGTAATGAACCCCAGTCACGACCTCTGGAGCCCCAGCAGTCACTACTACCGTTCCCGGGCAAAGATCACTACCATCACCTTGACTATCGTTATTCTGGAGCGTGGGTGGTAGGGTGGTGGTGGTACTGACTAGCAGTCAAAGTGATTACCACCCACCACTACCACCCCACCCCTACGTTCCAGAATAATGCCCAAAAACCCTGCTAACATTACCCCAGTGACTACGATTGCTGCACATGTGACCACTCCATCACTCCATTTTACAGTACATGCAGTACATCATCACGACTAGCCATGTCATATCGACTCTGTGTTTCCTCTAACTGTAAATCGACCACCAACGGCCACCAAGTTTTCACACTATCTTGTTCACTAGAAGGGTACTTGGTGGCATGGTGATGACATGCTCAGCGCTTGTGACCACCGGCACTGCGATCTCACCATCGCACCATCAAATACACTTCTAAGTTGTGTGAAAACGGATTACGATGTGTGGCAGTGATTGTTGATCGTACCATTTGATGCTGGGATCCCATCGGCGTGCAAGGAAAATTTGGAGGATGGCTGATGCTAATATACGTATAGGAACAACCAATTCACTCATCTCCTCATGCTCCGTGTTTATATTTGTAGTCATTACGTACACAAGTGATGCAAAGTGGGTTTTTCAACCAAGTTAATACAGATCCTGTATACCACCACCAACTCGTCCATCGCATAGCGATACCCATGGAATCATGTGTGCTTGTGGCCATTGTGTCGATCTCCAAGGTCAGTTAGTGATACGAGGCACAAGTACAGTATGTCAGCCTCACGTATTTATGTCCAATCAAAACCATAACGTTCATTGATTGGATAAAATAATGAAGGTAGTGGAACTTGCATTACGATTTCCAACCACAACACAATGAAATGTCATAAATCTTCAATATTGAGAGAAATTGAAGAATTACAGCCAATGAAATGCAAATGTCGCCAGTAACTTGGAACATGCGAATTTTGAAAGTCGGCAGTGCCCTGGACAGAGGAAGTATTTATACATATTTACCCATTTACGAAACAAGATCAACACTCCGATAGTGAAGTCCATACTATATTTTGAAAGAGAATGATGGTTACGAAACAAACACGAAACAGCAATGATCTATCTAATCCTTGGGAGCACCAGAGGCCGGGAGCGAAGCGAACCAGGCCGAGGAGCCCCCCTTATTTACCGGTTAATTAACCGGATGTTCCGTAAGTCCTTGGTATTTATTTTTAAGGCGTGCTACTACATACTTAAGACTTACGGGACAGCATTGAATATTAATACCAACCTTGTACTATGGTTAATATAATATAATTGTTGAATTAAAAGCGTGGATGAAATTTGGATGACATTGGATGAAATTGGATGAAGTTGTGGGATGAAACATAAAGTAGTGACCAAGCCTTACGTTGGCCCCGAGCGCCCGGGAGGCCGTCTGCGCAAGCGCGGCCGTACGAGAGCGCGGATCTAAGCTTCTCACTTCACCGAATGATCCATCTTTTCTTCTTGTCGGGCAATTGCAGGTAGGCCGTAGGCTGTGCCGCTCCCGGACGAGGCCTGTATGCAATGACCTAGCATAATCCTAATTTACTCTCATCTCTACTGGTCAATGTGGACATGAGTTTGTACTGAGAGAATGAGTTCTCTCGACTGCCTCCCCAATCGAATGGGCCAGATTAGGACAAGTCCTGGTCGCACTTAGTTATCCGGACAATATCCGGATAGTTAAATCAGACCGAAAAGTCACGTTTACTGTTAGTTTTGCCCCCCGACCAAACAAGTGTTCCTCGTGCTCTCGCCCCCTTCCTCAAGTGCTATTCATTCCTCGTCCTCTTGACATGAGTTACCCACATATATGGTGCAACTTTCCCGTACTAACGTTAGTATACAAGAACGCCACATTCGGGATCCTCTTTGATGCTTGGGATTCTTACATATATACGTACTGTATGCGCATGCATGCACTGGAAAGGGGGAGTCAAGGGAATTCCACTATCAGAATTTTACGACGCGAAACCGATTGACAGTGTGAATCAAGTGAATTGGATCTTGGTGGCGGGCAAGTTATCATACTCTGAGGTGAACTTGCCATGATACTACTCCGGAGTACTTGAAGTAGTAACTTATGCAGCAAACCCCAAAAACTTGTCTGGAAAGATAACGCCAATTTTCGCATTTTAAAGCTTTCCGTTGCTTCAGTCACGGTGTCAACCGAATTACTCAGGCGCATGCAATGCAATAGACCCACGGAATGGCGTCTTTATTGGACGCAGGAGCTTGCTGCATGTGCACGACACAGCAAAGGTGGATGTCTTGCGATGATTGTTGTTGTCCGTGACAGATACGAATGGCTTTCAAGGGCCAAATTGACTCCACATTGCTTTTCGTGGAAGCTAATAAAAATACAAAAGAAAATAAATTTCCTTTTCACAATCGAACGAAAAGCGGTGATTTCCTAACAGTAAATTGGCAATTTCTTGGCATGATATACCACTATGCATACATACCAAATTCAAATACACATGCAGAGTTGCACTGACTGCAAAGCAGCACTGGAAGCTGCGGAAAATCGAGAAATCCGGTTTCGCCTGGGCAAAACTCGCAAAACGTAATATAATTTCGAATGAAAAGTTGGACAAGTCTTAATTAAAATTCATAATTAAAATGAATATAAAATGTTTTCGAAATGTAAGAAACCCAGTTTACATTTTGTAAACTGAAAATTCAATACTTTGACCTAACAGTAAAACAAACCTACCTAAACTTTGTCCAAATCCTTCCAATTTTTTTGTCCATAGACCTCTCACCAAGTTTTCAACGAATATGTAATCAGATTCATGAACTTCATGTTGGTTCACGTGAAATCACGGGTAATCGCCAACGTGTGAGTATCTGAGCAAAACTTCGGCAACAAGTTCGACAAGTGCAAACTTCAACAACATGTGAGTAAGTACTTAGTACTAGGCGTACTTAACATGGACAAAATTGGAGGTATGTATTAACGTAAGGGCCAATTCACAGTAAAATTTGTCGTCGTTACCACGGGTAGTCGAATATCGATGCAGAGTAACATTTCATCGATGCCAGAAACGACACCATTGTACTTGCTAGTTCTTGTAAACTGTGCAACTGATTGGTGAATATTGATATTTTATAATTGCATCGTGTTTTACACCTAGGCCATCCCATTGGTGATAATTAGCAGTTTATAGAATTCAATTGGCTCCCAAGAATGAATTTGTATGATTGGCTGGAGTGTCCTCAAAGGATTTCACACATTTGGCTGCCATCATAACCAAGCAGCTGAGTTGCAAGGCGAGAACAAGTTCCGCGCTTCCCTCCAGGCAGTCTGGCTACCCCCAAAGCACCTCCCACCCCTACGCTCCAGAATAATGCCCAAAAACCCAGCTACACTAGTGACTATGATTGCTGCACATCACTCCATTCCAATATTTTCCAGTACACCATCATGCACATGATTGGTTAGAATTGGGAAGCTCAAAAGCGCAAATTATATTTTGCACTATCTTGCAAGAAGTATGATAATAGATTAATAATTGGAGTAGTTGCAATTCTGCCAAGGTCGCCTTTTCGGGTAATATTACATGACTATGATTGGTTGAAATTGTGAAAATCTTAGTTGGAAGCAAAGGTGTCGATTACGACAAACATTCATTGATTTGAAATCGGACATCTGACCCTATTCAGGACAAAATAGCAAAATTAGGACGGACTTAAGTCTGTCCTGATTTTGATCCAAAGGAACGTATCCTGAGAATTACTAGTAGAAATTATCCTACTATTAAATATTAATAGTAATTCTCAGGATACGTTCACGATGTCAATATTGTGCGTTTGCGCGCACTGTGTTCAAAGCAAACATGATTGTATTAGTCAGAACTCTCCTTGAAGACAATGTAATCGCCAGTGTAATTGGAAGGTGTGTCATGCTGCACGATCACTTTACTGTTAGTGTTATGAAGATATTGGCAATTCCATGTACTGTCTACATGCACAAGATAGCTGATGCAAAGGAGCTTGACACATGCACAACTCCACCGCTACTCCATCGACCACCACTGGTCTTCGATGTGGTGATGGTTAGAGCTCGCGTCGACGCTGCACGGATCAGTCTTTCTTACGAACGAACTGTGCTGCTAAAAAAACGAGTCATGGGGCAGCGTCGTCGGCGGGAAGGCGCTTGCATGTCGAACAACGCTTCCGGTAGTGGGAGGAATTATCATGCTCACCAGCACTGGCGATTCTTCAGGACACAATTGGCCCTGGGCGAGTCGATCGTTCTTGTGGGGGGAGCAAACTGGTTTGATGGAGTTCCGCTTCGATGGGAGAAAGAACGAACCGACCACTGAATGGAGTTGCATACACGTCGACATGATACGTGGGGTCAAAGTACTCAAGCACTCTGTGCACGTTGCCAGCTGACACCAGTGCAGCGATGAAGTGCCGCCATGGTATGCCTTGCTGGTCCATATAGCCGCAACTGCAATCTCGCTTCGACACGATGATTCGCCTCGTGACCTTCGGCAAATACTTCGTCGAAAACACTTGGACTATGTCGTCGCTGACAAGGTTCGTAGCGTACTGTGCAACCCATTGAAGCTGCTCGTCGTACGACATCAGTGCTCCAGGAGTTACTTTGCGGCCTTCTTCAACCCACGTCTTGGCTCGATCGCGCTTTTTCTTGATGTCGTCACGAATAAAGTCCACAAACGCGCGAACAAATGGAAACGGCAACATGTAGCGTAAGCCGTTGACGCGCGAAGTCTTGTGTTCACTCTTCACAAAGTTCGTAGTGCGCCAACCATACAACATCGTCTTCCCGATGTACGTGAACACGACCCACTTCTTCAGGGTCAATGTCAGCAACATACGATTGCACTTGGGCAGCACAAGGAATGCCAAGAACTGCCAGTCCGGACTCGTACTTGCTTGCTTGGAAGGCCCCTTGTATGTCCCAAATGAGGTTGTGGTGCTCTTGCGGGAACAGCATAGGGAACTTGCTGGTTATGTTGCGGATGATGTGGAGTGTTGCAATACCTCAGCTGGATCCCACGAGAACGAGCGGCAGCAACGATACCAGGGCCACGGTCGGAGAGCATAGGAACCGTCATGACAACCCCACTTTCCATGCACGTACAGAAAAACCAACTGCAGTGTTCCTCGCTTTCGCTTGGCACAAGAGCACACGCGATTCGTACGTTGTTTAAGTTCCCATCCCGGCCAACAAGAACAAGGTGGATTCCACTGTACAGCTTGTTTTTGAAGTGGGCACCATGAAATCCCAAACCTTTCTATATTCGAGGTTGAGTAGCCACAGATGCCCTAAAGACGAGCGCGCATCGTTGAAAACGGCCGTTGCTGTCGCTTACGCACTTCGATGCACTCCCGGGGTTCAACGAGACAAGTAGTTCCAAGAAACGTGAAAGCCACTTGTACGATGATAGTTCTACATTGTCCAACGTAGCGCATGCATGCTGCTTTGCGCGATACATAGTTCGCATACAGAGCATGTACTTGCGTTTGCACAAACGATGCTTCAACGCGCCGGTTGGCTTGCACGGCGCTGACAACACTCGGGAGTTGGGCAATTTGACGCACCGTGAGCATGGCGATGAATGTACAGTCGGCATGGTTAGGGACGACGGAAGAGATGTACCAAGGCGGTTGAGCCGCGTCGGGTGGATTCTTGGATGTCTTGTACGCCGTCACTTGGAATAGGCACGACTGGACGAACAAACAACCGTACGATTGTTTCCACCACGTGTTCGTACAGTACCACTACGTGTTTGTTGTTCTGATATGCTGACTTTCGCACGTAATCGACGAAGACGCTTCCCGAGTGAAACGTCATTCCCCTTTCAAGGTTGAGTCGCTTGTCTCCATTGCGCTCGTCGGGCACCTCACTGTTACTTTCCATCCGCCAATCGTTTGTCCTTAATACATACCACCACTTGTTAAGTACGCCTAGAACTAAGTACTTACTCACATATTGTCGAAGTTTTCACTTGTTTTCGAAGTTTTGCTCAGATACTCACATGTTGGCGATTACCCCGTGAAATCACACCTCAAACATTGAAGTTTCGTCGGTTTCGTCAACCTTCAACCTAAAAAAGCCCAACCTAAACCTCCTTAAATTTCATATCACTTTGGCGCATATAACAGAGCACAACGTTGAGATTACAGTTAGAGTCAAGATTGGCCACGAAAGTTAATCAATCGTGTCAGTTTTCAAAATGTCAACACGTGCTTACATTTTGTTCCTCCGGAGTAACTGCCAAAAGTATTCTACCGGTATTTTCGTTTGAAAGTCAACCTATCGAATTGACCGTTACGTATTGTGGGTTTTGCCCAGGCCAAAAACTAGATTTCCCGCAGCCTCCTGTATAGATTTGTCAAGAGGGACGATAAAGAGGTAGCACTGGGGAGGAACGACGACGAAGAACACTTGTGTGGTCGAGGGCAAAACTAAAGATGATTATTAACGGACTGTTTAGCTGACCTATAATTGGGCATAAACAGTCCGGTTTCTACAGAAAGAGAACACCGGATAATTCCGGATGACCGGATATTATCCGTAAGTGACCGAACCTCGGCGAAAAAGGCCAAAGCAAGAACGGCTAAAGTGCCCCTTCTTGACAGATTTGTTGGAAAACGTGAACTTCAACGCATTGCTATCCATCTGGTGAAAAGACTACTACTTCAAGTACCGGTACTACATATTGTGCTTTGCACCTTTTTTGGCAATTCCAGGGTTAAATTCATTGTTTAAAAATTTCTCAGGCTTAAATAATGTCTAAAGTAACTTGAATAACGGTTGGGTGCGTTTTTAAAGTTACTTTATCTATTGCGATGATTGGTTGGTTGAAGGTGGTTTTACTGGCACTTTCGTAAAACAAGTTGTTTGCCGTTTTCATTCTGGCAAACAACTTGCTTTACGTCAACATTTCAAGGTGCTTGACGCAATGAAACTGAAGGAGCTATGGCCACATACATGACCTCCCATCCGTGATCACTACAGTACTAACATTATCTACTCCGAGTAATGTATATAACGTTAGGGATATAGTTAGGCTACAGTACATGTAGTCGTCGCTCTGTCCAATGATTCAAAGCTATGCCATACCTTCAACTCTTGATCTGCTCTAACCTTAGCACTGTACGTGGAAGGCAAGGGCGCACTACGACTACACGATGTATAGTACTCCCATTTCACATCCTAATACGGTATGCATCGTGATGAACTGGTGCTTGTACGGCGTAAGTTGGCCTGGTGCTGCAACTCGATTAGTAGCACCTGAAATAAAGTAAGGGTTGTTTTATTCTGCTGAAATGCAGAACTTGTGTTTAGCGTTGTTTTATCTTCAATCGGGCTTTTATTATTTTAAACATCTGGTTGTTTAACGCAGTTAAACAACGGGCAAACTACATGAAAAGCACAATACTACTACTATTAATAGTAGTTCAACAACCTTTCCATCAGTTACTGGTCCCGTTTCAGCGTTCGAGCTTGACAGTGAACACAGTCTCATCTTCTCACTTTTGGACTTACCGTGCCAGTCAATCATCTCCACCGAGTACGTCGGGTACGCATAGTTTAATTGCTCACCTTGGATTGCGGGTTACAGAGACTTCGTGAACATCGTGTACGTTGTCTACCGGTAGCGATAGTACACTACAATAGCTATACCCTTAGGGACGACGCCTTGTGACCTTGTGTTGGCTACCTACTAGTACTAGTATTGCACGAGACACGTCCATATCGCGACAGGGAGATGCGGGAACTGGACGACAACTCATCATAACACGAAGTTACGGAAGGCCAAAATCGAGGCATACACATATGAAGATAAAGATGTTCAGTCAAATAATATGTAACTGTCGCGCGCATACATACGCCGTTTGATTCCGTGGAAGTGGCAGATTCAGTTCCTTGTTTACTCGCACATGACAACTTGAATAAATATGCATATATATCCCCTCGACAATGGTATACCAGGATTTGAAGGAATAATCAAGGACCTTTAATTCTTCATAACGTAGTCATGTGTCTGTGTCCTGTTCCTGCATCTCCCAGGCACATTGCCCTCTCGAGTGCATGTTACGTATACAGTACGTAAGAGAATCCCAAGCTTCAAGGAGGATGGCCGAATGTGGTGATCTTGTTTACGGAAAAGTACAGTCAGTCAGTACATACACTACACTGTACCGTAGATGTGGGTAACTCGTGTCAAGAGGACGAGGAATGAATAGCACTTGAGGAAGGGGGCGAGAGCATGCGAAACACTTGGGTGGTCGGGGGCTAAAGTGTCTTTACGGTCTGAGTTAACTATCCGTAATATCCGGATGTGTCTCAACCTGGCGAAGAAGTCCAAAAAATCACTCATGTGAAATATAATGGTAGCGGAACATTCTGTATGTTGCTTCAACTTGTCGCTATTAATATCCATCTGGTGAAAAAGATTTCAACTTCAAGTACTACTACGTAGTACTAGTACATACTAGTTCAACCTTCCATCAGTCAGTGTTCGAGCTTGAACACAGTCTCATCTTCTCACTTTTGGACTTACCATGCCAGTCAATCATATCCTCCAAGAACGCGTGTCGTACATCGCGTCGATCACCAAACAGGCCGACAAGGATGTCGACGGGTTCAAAGACGCAAGTACCCCGCTGGACCTCGAGGACGGCGGCGCCCTGCGCGAAGGCGGTCCGCTCGTGTACACCTCCCCCGAAGTTTTGACTCTTCTCTTCCAGTACGCCGTGGTGGGCATCTGCTACGGTGGAATTCCTGGCATAGGCATGCCCGTGCTGACCTACTACCTTGGCTTGGAGTCGGCCAAGCTGAGCTCTGCCTACGGTCTCGTCAATTTGGGGTGGTCGTTCAAGGTGTTTTACGGCATGCTCTCAGACTGCTTGCCGATCATGGGCTACAGTCGCAAGCCGTACATTTTGATTGGATGGGTTATGACTGCGATCTGTTTGGTGGTGATTGCGTTGAAACCGGTGGGTCCGTCAGTGCTCTTGGACAGATCGGACGAGAACATCAAGGCCGCGCAGTCCTACGGGTCGGTTCTCGTGCTTCTCTGCGCCCTGGCGAGCTTCTGCTACATCATGGCCGACGTCGCTTGTGACGCCTTGGTGGTCGAATACGCTCAACGCGAACCCGAACGCGTGCGTGGGCGTCTGCAGTCGTCCATCTACGGCACACGCTTCGTCTTCCAAGGACTGACCACCGCAATGTCTGGGTTTCTTATGAGCTCGCAGCGTTACGGCGGCAAGTTTGGGTTTGACATCAGCGTGAACGCATACTTCGGGATCCTCGCGGTGCCCGTGGTCGCGAATGTGTTTTTGGTGTACTTTTTCATGAAAGACCGCAAGCGCGGCGCCATCCGTTTTGCCACGTACTTTCACGACGTGTACGAACTCATCCAGCAGCGCGCCGTGTGGCAAGTCATGATCTTCTACTTCATGTTCGGCCTGCTCTCGAGCGAGATCAAATCGTTGGCGGGCAACTACATCCCGGTCTACTGGGCCCACGTCGAGCCCGTCAACAGCGCCGTGGTCGGCGTGATCACGTATATCATCTTAGCCACCACGTCTTTCTCCGTCGGCCGGTGGGGCACCCACTGGAACTGGCGCTACATTTTGGTCATCGTGACATTATCTGGTGTCGTCATCGATGCCATTGTGCAGTACCTCACCATCTACGATATCGTGCGTCACCAGTGGTTCTACATTGGCGTCCCCCTCACCGCACAAGTTCCCTACGCCGTCCAATTCGTCGTGTCCACGTTTGTGGTTGTGGAACTGGCGGGCGATGGCAACGAAGGGCTCATGTACGGCCTGCTCACGACCATGGGCAACCTCCC